TAAAGGAATTGAAATTAGTTTGTTGAAGAGCTATCTGCACTTCCATGTTCACTGCAACATTATTCACAGTAGTCAACATATGGAAACAACATGTGTGTCCATTGATGGATGAATGGATAAAGAAATCAATTGTGACACCATGATTCATGGTAATATATACACACACAGGAATGTTATTTAGCCTTAAAAAATAAGAAAACCTGAACATTTGTGGCATCATGAATGGACCTGAAGGACATTATGTTAAGAGAAATAAGCCAGTCAACAGAAGGATAAGTACTATATGATCTCAGGTATACGTGGAGCCTAAAACAGTCAAACTCACAGAAGCAGAGCAAAAGGTTGGTTATCAGAGGATAGGGGAGGAGGAAACTGGGGAAGGATTGGACAAAAGTTCTAAAGTTTCAATTACACAAGACAAAAATATTTTTGAATATCTACTGTACAGCAAAGGTCCTATGATTATCAATACTGTATTGTATACTTTAAAAATTGTTGAGAAGATAAATCTTATGTTAAATGCTCTTACCACAAAAAGAAAAAGCAAAACAATCGAAAGAGTGGGAGAAAACTTTGGGAGGTCATGGATGGGATTATAGCATTGATTGTGTTGATGGTTTCAAAGGTGTATCCTTATCTCCGAACACATTAAGACATGCACATTAAATATCCATAGTTTTTTGAACATCAATCATCTCTTAATAAATATTTTTAAAACTAAATAAGCAAAATAAATTTTCTGTGTATTTTACAATAAATTACTCATTTAAATATTCTGAAAAGTTAAAACTGTCTACAAAATGTACAAAAAATAAATACAATTTCACATTTTAAAAAACGAGGCTCAGGAGATTACCAATGGGATATTATTCAGAGTCTTGTGAGATATAAAAGGGATCATGAATTTCAATTTGTTGCATTGGAAATAAAGGGCTTTGGGAATAGAAGTAGCATCATTTGATTTACTTAAAAAAACTTAATATTTACAGTGGAGCTTTAATTAGATTAACAGGAGAAACAATTAGGAAGCTGTTGCTGAGATTCATGTACAAAATTGTGTAGCCTAGACAAGCAAATGGAAATAAATTATTGGATATTTCTCCCACTATTCAAAACAGAGTGTCACCTAATCAACTAATAACATTTCATGATTATTCCAGTGTTCTCAGTAGGTCAATATCTATGCAAAAGGTAAGTTCACTAGGCTCATATATTCAGTGACAATATGTAAGCCTGCCATAAGGCCAATTGTTCTCTACTAGATTTATATTAAATAAGCAACTTTCTGATTGATCCCGAAATTAAAACATTCTTTCAACCTTAGAATTTGTTAATTCAAATATGCCAATATTCTAATTATTTCAAAAGTAACATTACTTTTGGTAAGTGTTTAAACTGGCATTTTGTGCTGTATATCAATTTTTGATGAGATGGTTAGAATGATTCAATGCTACTGAATCCAATCAACTCTCAGTAAACTAGCACTAATTCTATATTACATTGACTTAAAGAGCATATGGGGCTTTCATTAAATAGCAAAGCATCTCAACAATGTGTGGAAAATATTATAGGTTTTAGATCATCGGTAGAAACAACTGGGAAAATGAAAAAAAGCTAAATAAAAGAGGTACCTTTATCATTATACTGAAATTGATCTTTCTGTAGCTTAGGCAATGTACATATATTTTGAAAAAATAGAATAAATGTGCCTTAAAAATAGCTCCATGGTAATGAACAAAAGAAAAACTAGACAATGAACCTAAAGTCCCAAATTCAAGTTTGATATCTTCAGCTTACTGGATATGAGGGCTTGTAACCATCACTTAACCACATTGGTCTACAATTGCTTTCTCTTGAAAAGTAAGAATTAAGCATGATGAAGATTGATATCCCATTAAGCTCCGAAGTCCCATGTCCTATATAATGTGAAGTAGAATTTGTTAGTGCAAGAAAGCAATAATAAAGGCCACAAAGGGTAAAGCTGAGATTTGACCATGTCAGAATCCAGCTTAGTTGTATATGAATGGGCTGATCAGCTACTCTTCAGCTACAGAAGGTTCCCTCTGCCCCAGAAACACATTCAGTCACCTACCCATTCAATTAGGACTATTATTCTGAAAAGAATAAGATTTACAAGATAGTTACCAAAAATATGCAGATGCATAATATTCCATTTGACCTTATATAAATTAAAACAAATAATATAAATGTTCATCAACAAAAATACACTAGGAAATTAAACATCAAATGTTATATGAAACAGAGCACCACAATCAACTCAATTTTTAATATATGTAATTACTCTACTTCCCAATGCACTGTAACAAGTTCATTCATTTACTAATAGAAAAAATGCATATTGTGTTTCCAATATGATAATTAATGCATCCAACAAATATTTAGTATCTACTATAAGCTAAGTGCTGTGCTAAATAGAGGCCATTGTCCTCACTTTAGTGAAAAAGTCAAACAAATAAATGAGGAGGATGATAACAAAGAGTGATAAGTAATTTGAAGAAAATAATTATGGTGTTAGGAAAAATGAGTATTATGAGGATTCCAGCCATTCTCTCACATGACCTTTATATCAAAAAAAAAGGATTAGATCCATACTAATTTTATGTCATACTAATTTTATAAAGTATATTCCTACATTTTATGTTAACTGCAAGATGAAATAGTTAAAATTATCCTGTCTTTTAGGCTATTGTGTAATTTAATTTTCCAGATTACTATAAAGAGTTTTAATATTATCTATTAATTTACTGACTTAAACATACATTAGTTGTCTCCTTCAAGCCAGAGAATAAATCTGCAAGGTCATTTAATCTAATTTTCTCAATAAATATACTTTAAAAATATATATTAAAAA